GCCACTACACCTAGGCAGCTACGAACCAGAACTTTTGAAAATAAGGAAAGGCAGAAACCAGCATATGCTGACATTGTGAGAAGGGGAAAAATTGCCAAGCCAGTGGAAAAAGAAAGAATAATCACAATTGTAGACACTCAGCCTGTCGAAGACCAAGAGGGTGACCTACGAGAGGTCTTCAAGAACAAGGTGGATCTAAGACAATTGAGAGCAGGGGTACAGAGCCTCAGAAATAAAGGCAAGAATCGTATTGAAATTATATGTCCAACCGTCCAGGATAAAGAAAAGATAGAGAAATCTTTGAAAACAAGTGAACTTGGGAGCCTCAAACTGGTTAACACACGTCTTCCAGACACACATGTTATTATCAGAGGAGTAGACGGATCTGTTAATACCCCTATGGATAGTTTGTTCAGTCAGAACGAGGAGATTTTCGGTAATGAAAACAATGTAAAAGATAAGGTTACATTCGTGCGAATGGAGAACAACGTCTGGCGTAAAGGCAACAAGAACCTTATACTAAGGGTGGAAAAAGATCTTTACGTGAAACTCTGTAGAGTTGGGATGGTGAAAATTGGGTATCAATATTTAAGAGTTGGACCCTACGCGGAGGTTAAGAGATGTTATGATTGCCATGGCTTTGGCCACATTGGAGCCCATTGTAAAGCCAAGGAGAAAGGCAGTTATGACGGCAAGGAAAGAGTGAGCATATGTTATTACTGTGCGGAGAACCATCCTGGCAAGACATGTCCAAACAAAGAGGATAGGAGCAAGCATGTATGTCTAAACTGCAAACATAGTCCAAGATACAAAGAAACTCAAGGAATTGGTCACGGCTCCACTTCCTATAGTTGCCCCATATACAAAGGGATAGTGAACTATGTTAAGCAACAAATGTACCAAATCCTTAACAGTTAATTCGATCAAAGTATTACAAGAAAACGTTGGTAATAACATCAATGAAACGTCAATTGCCATAGATAATGCCGTGAAGACAAAATGTAAAATATTAACACTACAAGAAGTGCCGTCATTTAAAGGGCGAGTAAAAGGTATACCCTATCGAGTCAGGCAATACACCACCAGAATTCCTGAAGATGATAGACTACACTGTAAAGATACTGCCATAATTGTGATAGATAACGATCTCATCTGCAAAAGCTTGAAACAAAAGTAGATTCATAGCTGAATCTCTGTCAAATTGGAGGATCAATGGATTAA